TTAGAATTGGCTGTCGGGGGGGGGGAGCTGTCCCTTTAACCTGTTAAACAATTAAATATTATGTTGAATAGATTAACCAATTAAATGGGATTTGCCATCCCTAATGGAAAACAGTCCTTTCCCGGGACTTCCGGTTGTTCTGGCACAACCAAACCACGGTCTTGCTTTAAGTTAGGAGACGCGGAAGCTGCATAGTGAATTTGGTGGCCCTAGCTCTTGCCATTAGGAGGAGAGCTTTAACAAATGGACTCGCAGGCAGACACACACGTAGACAGATGCACCTTAAAATATAGAGAGCGAGATTTGCCAGGTCACAGTTGCTTCCCTGCCCTGGTAACTACCAGGTTCTGGCAAGGAAGAGAAATAGCTAATAATTCAGGTCCTCCCGTTAACTTTCCAGTTGGAGCATGTGAACATGAGAGCTCATTTGCAAAGGTTCAGCCCTGGGATAGGGAGGCAGTGGGTGTTCTTTATAAGTTTTGTGGAAATCCACTGTAGTGAACTTGGAGAGTGTACTGCCATAGGGTTGTGAAGGTGTGATGGATAGGAGGAGTGGTGGCCTTTTCCAACTCAAAGCATCTCTGCTTTTCCGTCTCCTCTGCTTCTGAGTGCCTCGTCTCCACATCCGCTTCCAAATGCTTCGTCCGTAGGAAGCACTCTATGTTGCTCTTAGAGGTCGGCCTGCCTTAAGGACTCTGTCCCACTCTGAGAGATGGGTGGTTTTGGAGGGGCATGGCCACCACCCACAGCTCCCGCCCCCCCAAAGTTCCCCCCCCCCCCCGGCCTCCCAGGGACATTCCCCTGTCCTTCCTCCCTCGTTGTATGAATCTTCCCTGGAGGAGGACGTCTCACCCTGATCTGAGGCTGTTCTCACCTCAGTGTGTCGCTTAGGAAGGTTGGTTGCTCCAGGTCTACTCTGCCCGACCGCAAGTACATGCACTGGGCTACTTCCCTGCCCTACTCTAGCCTAGCTATCCAGTTGCCCCGAAAGCTAGAAGAAAAAAACCAAACACAACTGTTTGGTTTGGACTCTCTGGCTGTGCAGGTTTAACCTTCTGTGTGCCTTTCCCCCTCAGGCAGCAAAAGAAAAAAACCCAGAACTTCCAACAGTAAAAGAGGAAAAAAAGTGCCCTTTTAAAATCCTGAGGTCTGTGTTCCTGGTCCAGAATGATCCCACCAGCACTGCCACCATGTCAAGGCTGTTCCCCACTCTGGTACTCTGAATGCAGAAGATGGGGGCCCGCAAGAGACCTTACAAATACCTTGCCTCTATAGGCTTCTGCTTAAAAAAAACCTCCCTAAGGTTACAGATTCCCTGACCCTGGGAGATAGGCTGCCACCACCAAGGGAAACAACCCCTTTCTTCTTGAACCCCTGGAAGAAAGCACACGGAACTTCTTTCACCTCAAGAGAGCTTGAAATACAAGAAAACAGACTGCAGTCTCTGATAGTTCACCTCTCAGTCTTAGGCATGCTTACACAGCCCTCCTATTGCCCTCCAGGATATGAGAAAAATCATTGCCTTAAAAAAAGGTGATTTTTATTAACAAAACAAAAAGATATACTTGATAAAGCATACTTGGTTGCTGTATGTTTTAGAGCAGTTGAGAAAATAACAATTTAAAAAACACAGCACAATTCCATTCCTGGGATACACTTAAAGTACAGTGTGTGGGGGGAGGGGGCACATGGACTTAGCACAGACAAGTGTAACCAAAGACATTCCATTCCCTATCTATTCACATACCCGTGATTCTAGATCCAGTCCATTTCCATGCCCAGTATTCTTTGCAGGCATGGTAGTTCTTCTTGGTTCAATTCATCTTGTTCCCTCAGCTCCTGGCTTAAAACTCACAAAATAAAAGCAGCAGACAGGTATCACTTTCAATTCAAATCTCAGACTTTCTTCTTATTGGGTCTCCTGGCTTCCTGCCACCCCTTTGATTCCCGAATGCTGGGATGTTCAGAAAAGGCCAGCATTCCTCCTATCCATCACAGAAAGTCTGGAAATTAAAACATCAGTGTTGATTAGTGGACAAGTCTTTCTGTATGTGTTTGTCTCTGCTGTCAAGTTATCTTTCAGTTAACGCTCCAAAGTTTTTGGTTTACTAAACTGAGCAAGCCATTGCTGATAAAGTGTAGCATATCCCCTTATGTGCAGGACATCCTTGTCTCAGTTTTTGGTAATCATCAGCCACATTTACAAAATACAGTGCTTAGTGTTTCCTGGTGGATTAGCAGCACTTGCCTGTAACTGACTGCATCGTGCACACAGACTAGACTGGCCTAAAAGGTTCTTATGTTTTATACACTCGGGCACTTTCTGCATTATTTGGGGAGGGCTGTTTACCAAAACTCTGAAATCTCTTGTGTGTGTTCTGTGATGTGCCTGCAGCCTCCCTTATGTTGCAGTTATGCTCCACTTCCCCACCCTCATGTCCTGCCCAGATACCAAGTGGTGGAACCTCCTACCACCAGTAGAGGGTGGGGAACCCCGGTGGGCCAGTCTCTATTCCACCTTGATTCCACATCCCACCGGGGGCATTAACTGGAGAATCCTGCCCAGAGCTGTGAGCACGGGCGTGTATTTGGCGCAGTTCACCCTCATTCCTGACACTTGCCCCTTCTGTGGCGAGTGGGGGACCCTGGCGCATGTCTGCCTCGAGTATGCCAGGTTACAGCCCCCCTTGGCTCCTTCAGAATCTCTTGTTGAGTTTCTGGCTACACTTCTTCCCTCACCTACTAATCTATGCACACCCCATCCGTGGCCCCACAAAGTCGTGGGACCTCCTGGTCAACCTCCTCCTGGCTATCGCCAAGATGGTAATTTATAAGACCAGGGAGCAGAGGCTGGCCGAGGGAGGGGCCTGCGACTGGGGCCTGTTTCCGTTCCTGCATCCGCTCACGCATCCAGGCAGAGTTCCACTGGGCGGCGCCTGCTGGCTCTCTCCACACCTTCGGGAGGCAGTGGGTGCTGTCCAGGGTTCTCTGCTCGGTGTCCCCATCCGGTTCCCTTGTTTTAGCCCTTTGACCCTCACACCCATCCCTGTTTTATCTTATCTGTCCCAAGTAATGACTTGGTTTTCTGGGCTCAGTGGACCCTCCCCATAGGCTGGGGGGAGATCCTTTACATGTGGACTCCAATAGGCACTTCTGTTGCAGTTAGCTAGGCCTTTTGTTCCCTTATGGGATGGTATTACAAGGAATAGAGAGTAACCTTGGGGCCATTGGTGTAAATGAAGGCTTGTTTCGTCTTGAGGCCACAAACCTAAGCTGAGAATCTGTTCTTACCTTCCAGCATCTCCTAAATTACTTTTTGTTATGGGCTCCTTTTCTTAACAGCTTCCAGCAAAATATCTCCAAGCAGGAACTCTGCTTGTGGCCATTCTGGAAGGCCAGAGAAGGTGCTGTTATCAGAATCCCAAGTTTACCCCTCCTGGAGTTAGAGGCTAGTCCAATGTTTGGCAAATTTCCTCCATTAAAGGGAGACAAGGTTAAAATTAGAAGCGGACACATTGGAAGGAAGGGAATTTATGACCTTGGGGACTTTTTAAGCAGAAGCCTCTAGACTCGAGGCAAAGTATTTGTAAGGCCTCTTGCGGGCTCCCACCTTCTGCATTCGGAGTACCAGAGTGGGGAACAGCCTTGACATGGTGGCAGCGCTGGTGGGATCATTCTGGACCAGGAACACAGACCTCAAGATTTTAAAAGGACACCTTTTTTTCCTTTTGCTGGCGGGTCTACACGGACCTGCTAAGGGAGCACGTTGAGGCCCTGCAGGACTGGGGCAGGATGCTC